GGTACTGGGGATTGAACTCACGACCTTGTGCTTGCCAAACAAGTGCTTATGCCGCTGAGCTATATCCCCAGCCCCTCTTTCTTTGTTTTTGATATGCTCTAGGGATTGAACCCAGGACCTTAGATGCTGGACAAGCTCTGTACCACTGAGCTATACCCACAACCTGGGTTATACTGATTTAATATTCCAAGATATCAACATTGGTTTTATCAGTCTTTTAAATTATCATTGTTATCAATATAAATTTTTAATTTGTATTGCAGTATTGGTTATTATTGGCCATTTGTATTTTTCTGGTAAAAGTGTCATTTTACCATTTTCTACTAAGTTCTTGTCAAATTAATTTATAAACACTTGCATGTATTAAGGAAATTTGTTAATCATGTATGTTCCTTTAGCTTGTCTTAATTCTCATATTTTATACAAAATAATTATTCAAAGTGTAGAAAATTTTGTTTTATACAGAATAATTTACTTTATCTATAGTTAATTTATCAATCATTTATTTTATGGGTTTTGTATTATGTTTAGAAAACCCTTCCCTTCAAGAAATGTAAAATATTTATTCTCTGTGCTTCTTCTGCCTCCCCAGTTATATTTGTTTTTTCCATTGGGATAAGATTTTTTTTTTAATTGGGTGACTAGCCCCATATGTTTATTGGTTAATACATATTTTTTGTTGATGATTTAGAAATGCATTTTTGTTGTATAATGGAAACATACGTTTGCATCTCTCTGGATTATATTTTGTTCCAATGACCTTCATATCTATTCCAACACCAATACCATTTTATTTAGTTACTATAGATTTGTTTATTTTTATTTATGTTTTCACTTTTATGTATGTATGTTTGTTTGTTTGAGCCAGGGTCTGACTATGTAGTTCAGGCTGGCCTTGAACTCACAGCAATCTTCCTGCCTCAGCCTCCCGAGTGCTGGGATTGCAGGCATGCACTAGCATGCCTGGCCTCATAATTACTATAGTAATTACTTTAGTTTTATAAAATATAGTTGGCCTTCCATATCCAAGGTTTCCACATCTGTGGATTCAACCAACCACAAATTGAAAATATTTGAAAAATTAAAAGATTTCATCTGTACTGAATATGTAGACTTTTTTCTTGTCACTCTATAAACAGTGCATTATAACATCTATTTACATGGCATTCACAATGTATTAGATGTAAGTAATCTGCAGATGATTTAAAGTATGTGAGTTATTGCAAGTACTGTGCCTTTGTATAAAAAATTTAACATCCACAGATTAGTTATCTGGAAGGTCCTGGAACCAGTCCCCCATGAATACTAAGGGATGATGGTATTTTTATATTCCAGCCTAAGCCCCCTGGAAAAGCCAGAGTGTGAGGAGGTAAACTCAGTATTCTGGGAGGCTCAGGCAAGAATATTGCAGGTTTGATCCCTGGGCAATTTAGCATTTTAGGAATCCTTGTTTTAAAATTTCAAAAGGCAAGAATCTGGGCATGTAACTCCCTGGTAAAACCCTGGGTTCAGTCCACAGTACTCCAAAAATAAATAGAAGCATTGAAACACTGAAATCCTTCTGTCTAGACTAAGTCCTTGGGCCTTTTGAAAAGGAAAAGGTACTAGCTCTTTCAAATGTTAAAGTGATTTTGGAACTCTAATGATTAATATGTTAAAAGCTACCTACCGGGCATGGTAGTGTGCGCCTGTAATCCCAGCACTTGAGAGGCTGAGATAGGAGGATCACCCCTAGTTCAAGGCCAGCCTGAGCTACATAATGAGACCCTGTCATAAACAAACAAACATATATATAAGTAAAGGTAATAGAAGAAACTACATTTTTATAGCATATTGGCTAATTTTAGACCCTAAAAGATCTTATTGAGTGCTGCTGCTGTGATCTTCCTGAACTTCATTCTTCCATAAAATAGAAGAGATGATCTGTAGATTTATAAATTGAGGACCAGGGATATAGCTCAGTGGCATAGCACCTGGCTGGCAAGTGCAAGGTCCTGAGTTCAACTCCCGGTACCAAACAAATAAATAAAATAAATAGAGTTTACACAGAGCACGGTGGTTTATGCCCGTAATCTCAGCACTCTGAGAAGCTGAGGCAGGAGGATCGTAAGTTTGAGTCCTGCCTGGGGAACTTCGTGAGACTGTCTCAGAATAAAAAAATTAAAAGGAGTAGGAATGCAGCTTGGTATGAGGGCCCTGAGTTCAATCTCCAGTACCACCAAAGAAAGAAAAGGCTAAGTGAGTTTTTTGTAAAGAGCTTAGTGTAGGACTTAGCCTTAGCAAGCACCTGCAAGTTAGAATTTATTCATCTCAGGGGCTGGGGATTTAGCTCAGTGGCACAGCGCCTGCCTGGCAAGGGCGAGGTCATGAGTTCGATTCCCAGTACCGGGAGGGGGGGGGAGAATTTATTCATCTCTTTTAATAACTCACAACAACCTTAGTTATAGGTGATACTGAAATTCATAGGGATTAAATAATCTTTCCAAAAGGTAGCAGGAGAGGGTTTTTTGCTTTTGTATTTTGAGACAGAGTCTTGCTATGTAATTCAGGCCTTGAACTCACTACATAGCCCAGGCTGTCATCAAACTTTCAGCGATCCTCCTGCCTCAGCTTCCCAAGTGCTAGGATTCCAGGCACGCACTACCATGCCCTGCTTGGTTTTCGTTGTTTTTTTTTTTTTTTTTTTTTAATTAAAAAAAATTTTATTAGTACGCATTTGTCTTACATAATTACATCCATTGTAGGCAACTGGTACGTGTACATAACACATCTTAGCTCTTTTTTCCCTTTCCCTCCATCCCCCCTTTTTTTTGCCGGCATCAGATTCATGTATTTAAGTCATTATAAAGTTAATGATCTTTTATACAGATTAACAATCAGACAAATAGGCCTAACAACATAAAACACATAAGACAGTTACACTAAGTCAAGGTACACTTTTAGATACATTGTCCATGCTGGATAGCAATAATTTTCTCTCTCTTTTTTCCTATTAGAGTGGTGTCTCCTTTCATGAATGTTTTTGTTCGCAAATAATTTAGTTCTTAGACAGAAGCATTTGGCAAAATTTTTTGTTTGCAAACTCTGCATCAGTTGACGAACCTGACCACAGCCATCTTTCCCACATGAACATAAATGTGGCTAACTATTCCAGAATCTTGGAATGAATTAAGCTCATGAACCAAGGCACTGCTTATCTGTCTTTTATTTGTTTTGGTTTTTTTGAAGCAGGGTCTTGCTATATAATTCAGGCTGGCCTTGAACTCCCTATGTAGCCTAGGCAGACCACAAACTCACAGCAGTTCTCCTGCCTCACCCTCCCAACTGCTGGGATCACAAGTGTGCACCACCACACCTAGCTCAGCAGAATAGGATCTACGCTTGTGTGTGCATGATAAAGTTTGTGCTCCAAACCACTGTACATACATATGCCATTTTATATTATTGGTTCAATTTCTGTTTCTAATGATCTTAATTTATTGATAGTGCTTATATCAATAAGGTTAATCCCCTGAAATTAATGATAGTTAAGTACAGTAGTACCTTGTAGAGGGAGATAATAAGTCACATTTAAAAAGGGGGTACTCTTCCACTAAGGTATATACCCAAGAGAAATGAATAAAACTTGTCAACATACAAACCTATATATAAGCGTCCATAGCAGTATTATTCATAATAGTCCGAAGTATAAATAACCCAATTGTCTAGCAGCTGATGAATGGAAAAACATAATGTGACATTCATACAATGGCATATGTAGCAGTTGAAAGTGTTGGTAAATGCTATATAACGTGGTTGAACATTGAAAACTTTATACTAAGTGAAAGAAGCTGGACATAAGGCTGTATTTTATATAGTTCTACTTATATGAAATGTCCAGAGTAGGCAAACCCATAGAGATGGTGTTACTGGTCACCAGAGACTACCAAGGAGGCAGTGGGGAGAGCCTGCTAATGGGTCACAGTTTTGGGATTTGAAGAAAATGTTCTGGAATTAGATGGTAATAGTTGCAAACTTTGTGACTATTCTAAAAACCAGTGAATTACTTAAGTGGTGAATTCTATGGCATACCAATTTTATCTTAATTTTAAAAGGTAGAGAAAAGTTTGGTATTGGAACCTCAGACCTAGACAAGTAATTTTGCAGTGCCTCAAATTTTCTTATCTGTAAAATAGTTTTATAATAGTTTACTCTTCCTGGGGTTGTTGTAAAAAATCATGCATAAAAAACTTATGATACAGCATTTTGTGAACAAGAAGTGTTCAGTAAGTGTTAGCTATTGATTATTAATATTTCTAGTTAAGAAACATGTAAAATGTTCAATATTTGGTATATGGAATTATAGTATACCTCCATTTTACTTGTTTTATAAATGAAGTAGGAATAAAATATTCATTTGTATTAATCATTCAGACTTCTATGTGTCAGTTTATGAATACTAATCTAACTATCTTTATGTTTTACTTTTAAATTTATATTTAGCTTAAATACTCCTTAATAGTTAATGGAATGACTTTCTATACTAAGTTCATAGTGTGATCTAATTAGAATGTGAGAAAATATAGTTAAACTCTAAATGGGGTGTTTTGTAATTTATGCCAATTTTGTTGATTACTATCAGTTTATATTTTCTTCTGATACAGATTCAACGTCTATTGGAAGCCCAGTCTCTGAAGCCTGGTTCCCCAAAGAAAACCTCTGTTGAAGATACCGTGCAAGATGCAGGACAAATGGAGCTGGTTTCCATGGAAGCACAGCCGTCCCCTGGCTTGCACATGAAAAAAAGTGTAAGCATTGCTGTGAGCACAGGTAACTTATTTTCTTTTTACAAGGGTCTTTTGTTTTTTTTTTTTTTTGTGGTTTGTTTGTGGGAGGTTTGTTTTGTTTTTGTGATACTAGGGACAGAACCCAAGGCTTTGCACTGAGCTACATCCCTAGCCCTTTTGAGGCCAGCCTGAACTGCAGTGCAAGAAGAGTTCAACAAGAAACTGAACCATTATGCAGGACTGTCCAGTTATTCTACATGGCTGTTGTATTCAGTTCTTTCTGTAGTCTAGCTTTCATTGCTTTGCATTTTAAAATTCAGATGAGCCGGAGTTTGTTATACAAGCTAAGTTTGAGCTACACAATTCTAGTCATATATGCAAACCATCTATCCCTTGGTCCCACCTTCAAATTCCAGAGACCCTCAGTGCCCTAGTTTGGATTAGATTGTAATCCTTGGTTCAGTAGTAAGGGGATTAAGAAACATAAATAAGAATTTGTATACTGGAGCCTCATCTTTCAGATTGCAGAAGTGACATCTTCCAGGAAAGTGTATGTGTGTATAGGGCTAAAAGAATTTAGGAGTATTGTGAGCTTAGTAAATGTACCCAAAAGTGTGGTATTCTTATATGTCTTATAAAATTCTATATTTGCTACATTACAGTTGCTTACACATATTACTGGACTGTAAGCTCTTGACATCTGAAACACTGATTTATTTACCATTGTATCTCTTTTCACATGCTGTAAAATAATGCCTGCACAACAAACAAATGACCATTGAATGAAGTCATGCTCAGCTGATAGTCTGAAATTAGTTGAGACAGATTTTCAAACATGATATATAGAATGCAGGTATTTTAAGACTTCATAGATTTCTATTCATAGTTATTACCTTTATATATATATAT